AGACTTCTTAACCCTTGAGACTTGTTAAGTACTCCCTCTGTCGCAAATTATAGATTGGTTTGGCTTTTCAGGCACATAATTTTTTTGGTATGCACATAAAACCCATATATATAAAAACCCAAAATGACATAATTTTGGATGCAGATTTCCTACAGCTCAGAGGGCCCCAGCAGTCCAGCAACTCTCTAAAGTCCCTGTCGCCTACGGTGGCATCCATCCTGTCACACAATTTTCGGTCATCTCGTCGGAGATCTCCCGAGGACCCATCGGAGCGGTTCCTCAAGGAGCTCCGCTATGATCTGGAGACGGTGTACGTCGGCCAAATGTGCCTGTCATGGGAGTTCCTCCGGTGGCAGTATGAGCAGGCCCGTGACCTCCCGGAGTCTGACCCTTACCACAGCCACCAGTACAACCAGGTGGCCGGAGAGTTCCAGCAGTTTCAGGTCGTGGTGCAGAGGTTCGTCGAGGACGAATCGTTCAAAGGCCCTAGGCTGCCAAACTACATCAACAACCGATGTGTTCTTCGCAATCTCTTGCAAGTGCCCGTGATTAAAGGTTAGGACCATTTCAGACTTCAGTCAGAGCTGAGATTAGTTTGTAGTCCATGTTTGTACTGAATTTTCAATGAAAAGGAACATTGACCCTGATGCATGCATTTTGGGTTACAGAGGACAGCTTGAAGGACAGGATGGAGGATCAGCGCAAGGGCAACTACGTGATAACCAGTGAGGAGCTGGAGGACATCATGGAAGAGGCGATGCACATCATGTGGGAGTTCATCAAGGCCGACAGAGTCGAGACGACAACAACATCGGTGCTCAAGGGCCTGTCCAGCACCCACGTCGAAGTCCAGGACCCCATGGATCATGATCTCATGGCGCACATCAATTCCACGTTACAGAAGGTAAGGTTGCGACACAGTGCAGGGCTGCAGGCAAAATATCTTTTTTGCTACAGTTGCTAGCAGTAAGTGTAGGAGTGCCTGTTGCGTGACGATGTGTGTGTTGTATCTGAATGGTGTGCAGAAAGAGAAGAGGCTCAAGGACCTCCTCAGGACCGGCAACTGCATCGTGAAGAAGTTTAAGAAGCCCAAGGAGGACAGATCGAACCAGAACCTCTTCTTCTCGCAGGTGGACATGAAACTGGTGGCGCGGGTGCTGAGGATGCCGAGGATCACCAGCGAGCAGCTGCAGTGGTGCAAGGCGAAGCTCGACAAGATCATACTGGTAGATAGGAAGATCCACAGGGAGGCTTCATTTTTGTTGTTTCCCTGTTGAGAGAGTACATATATATGTTTTCTTCTTTTCTTTTGCTCGATAAAAAAAAAAAATCTTCACCATGTAATCAATCCACGGGTGTAGGAAATTTTTTTAACCTTTTGGTAATTCAGTTTCTTATATACGTAGGTTCATAATTATAATTGTAACTTCATAAACAGGCCACAGCTTACAGAGCCCATGCATGGCGCTTCCATGATACCTACATCACCTAGAAATTACAGTCATCGCAATGTACATACTCCATTTCCTCTTCAGTAGAAGGGACCGTCTTTTGCCACTGGTCCATCCCAACTGTGTTGCAAGGCTGCAAGACATTTTTTAACTGCACTGCCATTCCTGGCCCTGGACGAGCAGTTCTTATGCCCTTTCTGTTCACCATATGAGTCACATAGTGACCACCTCACATTAGCTGATCTAACAACTCAAGTACTTGATGCAAACACTGTACAGCACTGTACCCATGAACAGGAACACGCATCTCATAACTGAAAGGTGACGAAACTGAGGTGCAGCTGAGTAGGCTCAACAGTAGACAGCAGTACTAGCTATGACAGTAGTAGATCTTAGGGTGGCAAACCTCAACGGACGTGTAGGGATACAGATTGGTAGCGTTCAGGACGTGTTTGATAATGACCACACATTGCCACATCGTTTTTTGACAAACTTTGCTAAGGCCTGTTCGCTCGGTTTATCAGCTAGAATGTACAGTATTTTTCTTTCACAACAAAACAGCTTCAGCTGACTTTAATACCAGTCGAACAGGCCCTAAATGTGTGGCTAACAATTTGTTAGTGGCACCTTATTAGTTATGATGTGGTAACGAAATGGGTCAATGACAAGTGTGCCAAAAGTGTATCAAGCTACAATTATGGTAGAGAACTAAACAGCAGCCTAAGAAACGATGGCGCGTTTAACCCGTGGTGTGCTAATGCTTGGCCACGAACGAAACGCACCCTAGAAGTGGTATGCTTAATTCTCATAAATGTATTCACCTTTCACTTAGTAGGGTGCAATCGGAAAGCTTTCGAATTTACCCATTTCACCTAGAGAGAGAGGAATCAAGAACTCCATTTTAACCAAAAAAATGTGACCAGACCTATGAGGCAACTAGATGGGTTTTCATCAGTTAAGAAGAAAATATACACCCAAATCTAAATTGATAGAGGACTGTAATACATGTAAGTTTCTGGTCCAAATTAAAGTGGCGCCCTAGACGTTTAGCCAAGTTCTCTACTCCCAACCGGCCCAGGCATAGAAGCACCGCCTGTTCCCGAGTTGCGACTGTCTCATCCCCGTCTAGCCACCGTTGCCTCCCACTGGCCAGCAACTCAGCAAGAGGGTCTGTGGCCACTCGTAGCCGCCAGGAGTTGTTTGCGCTCTGCGCTCCGCGGTCAAAGGCGCGCGGAAGGGTTGGCCCGCCTAACCGTAGCCAAGCTATATTCAAGCTGCTCGGCTGAATTTTTACGACTGATAAGCTGGCTGATGCTGTTTTGTTGCGGGAACGATGTTTCCACGTTTTCTTTGTTTCTTTCTTTGTTTCTTTTTTTCCTTTGTTTGGTGATCCAGGAGCCTGGATGAGGGGCCAGACTTTTAAAGGATGGGCTCATATGGAGAACTGGGAATGGGGAAAATGTGAAAATATGAGAAGACCCATGGCTGCCCAGAGGTACAACAAGAAAACCGGTTACACCTAGGAGGTCATGTTTGCTGACAAGAGTTAGTGAGCTTATAGATCCAACAACAAGTGAATGGGATGAGAAATTAATCTGTGATATTTTTTTGGCCCGAGGATGGTGCTGAGATCTTAAGGATTCCAATTAATGTGAATATGGAGGACCGGCCTGCTTAGCATTTTGATGCGAAGGGGGTATTTTCAGTCAAATCGGCTTATAAGCTTGCTGTGGAAAAAAGAGATGCTCGTACAGGAAGGGATGCTTCTAGTTCTGGATGTGCAGGTGGATGCATGAGTGAATTCCAATGGATTAAGATTTGGCAAATTAAAGCTCCCAACAAAGTAAAAATGTTCATATGGCGTTTTGCACATGACAGCCTTCTTGTTAGAAGAAATTTGGCCAGGCGTGGGATAAAATTAGATACCATTTGTCCAGTTTGCAGAAGGCTAGATGAAGACTGTGGGCACATCTTCTTCAAATGTAAGTATGTAAAGATATGTTGGCGCCTTTTGAATATGGAGGATATAAGATCTGAGCTGGTGAACTGCCGATCAGGAACTGAACTAATTAATAAGATTTGGGAGCTAGAGATGAACATTCAAATAAAAGTTTTTGTCTTTCTTTGGAGATGGTGGTCGGCAAGAAACAAGGCTAATGACGGTGGGAGAATGGCGAATCCAACTGAGATTTGTAGTTCTGTATCATTCTTCCTGATGGAGTTTGAAAAGTTGCACAAAATTGAAAAGAAAGTGACGCTTGCTGCTGCTGGATGTTCATGGAATCCTCCACAAGAGGATATCTATAAGATCAATTCCGATGGCTCTTTTTATCCAAATAAGAGAATTGGAGGATATGGATTTGTGGTGAGGAACAAGAATAGAGAGGTGCTCGTGGCTGGAGCTGGAATCATTTCTTATGCTTCATCGGCCTTGCATACTGAAGCAATTGCGGCCTACAAGGCTGTCCTCCATGCAGCTCAACTAGGAATGACAAGAATTATCTTGGAGACGGATTCCATAGTGCTTGCTAATGCCCTCAAGTCGCCAAGTTTAGACCGAAGCATAATTGGTGCTTTAGTGGTTCAGATACGAGACATTATCAGAGTTTTCTTTTTGTAATGTCTCATATTGTAATAGATCATGTAATAAGGTGGCAGATTCTTTAGCTGACCATGGAGCATATGCGGTGGAGTGTGGCTCAGATGTGTTAATAAGCCAAGTGCCTTTGCATGTAATGAATCTTGTATTGGGCGATTTGCCTAGGAATGAAGTTTAATGCAGGATGTGTTACCTGATATATATATATATATATATATATATATATATATATATATATATATATATATATATATATATATAAAGGAGCCTGGATCAGAGTCTCGCTGATGTCGCCGGCAGCAGGCCTGGACGGCAGAGGTGCGCCGTGGAACATCAACCTGGAGAAGGTGGCCCGTACAGCCTAGTTACTCCGGTCCGGCCCATTATCTCATCAAACAGATCCCAGCCGTCCGATTTAGGTCAGCCCTCGCGACACATCCATTTATACCCCTTGCCGCCGCCACGCCGTAGCTTCTCTTTCTCCTAGTCTCTCTGCTCCAGCCTCCCACTAGGGTTTATCCACCGGCGGCGCGCGCGACGGCGGCAAGATGGTGCAGCGTCTGACCTACCGCAAGCGGCACAGCTATGCCACAAAGTCCAACCAGACGCGGGTCGTCAAGACCCCTGGTCCGAATCTCCTCCTCTTCCCATCATTTTCTCTTTTGTTTTCACTCCATTTTTGGTGGTTCCTTTGATATCTGCTTTGGCTGTGTTTTTGATGTGCTAGATCGGTTTGTGGCTTGTGGTCGCAGGTGGCAAGCTCGTGTACCAGTACACCAAGAAGAGAGCCAGCGGCCCCAAGTGCCCTGTGACCGGGAAGAAGATCCAGGGGGTGAGTTGCAACTTCTCTTCTCAGCATGACATACTACTTTCTCAGCATAACACGATTGTTCGGTTAGTCTTGCGGCTTTGGTAGGGCGATTTGTGTTGGGAGTAGGTACGGTGGTGGGGAAATCGGGGTGTTGAAGTTGGTGGGTAATCTGTTCGTAAAATTTAGTGGAATTAGTTGTTCATCTCAATCTTTAGGTCACCTTAGAATGTTTAGCATTTTTTAGTGTAGATAGAAACGGGTGAAATTTGGGCGCAACCTGCAATACTTGTTGCACATGCATGAAATTCATAGAATGGAATTTGTTTCCCGAACTCTGTAATTTGTTGTGTAATGGAGCCTTTCAGTTGGAATGGATTGGTGGCTCACCATATATACATCCGGTCGAAATATGCTGCAAGCCTCCTCAGTGGGGCATTGTAGCAGCAGCAGATGGCTGCTGCAGCTTTGTTTGCTGCAGCCGAACAGGCCCTAATTCTATTATTGTAAGGTGTCAGATGTCCAGCAACAATTTCAAATTGCTTTGATAATATTATTGGCACATCGAATTTGCTATGTATCTAGACATATGTTATGTCTAGATACAGAGCAAATTTGATGAATCAAAAAAGTAAAAGAACTTATAATTTGGAATGGAGAGAGTACTAGTTTGTTTGTACAGTGGTGATTCTTATACAGCAAACCTTATAGGTAAGTATTTCATATGCGCACTTGATAGTTTGTACAGTGGTAATTTGAATGTTGATTTCTGTATTTATCTTATTGGTGTGAGATCTTACAGCTGAAACGTTTGAGGATGCAATCTTGGTAGTATTTCTTGAGTTCAGTTAATCAAATTATGCACTCCCAGTGAGGTTGGCATTATCATTCTAGTTCCTAATGGAAAAAATAATAAAGTATGCACCGCAGCAAAGCAGTCAATGTTGACATTGTTGCATTGCCATGAATTTCCTCTTAGGAAAATGGTTACTGATTCATATTTTGTTGGAATTCTATATTGTGAATCCCTTAATTTTTTTCATCATGGTATGTTTTGATGCTATGCTTGATTTGTTTCTGGAGAATGTGTTCTCATGTTCTACAATTTGCCTTATTATTATTTGTCTGTGATATGGCAGTCCATCTTGATTGCTCACACTGTGATGGTTTCCATTTTCAGATCCCCCATCTGAGGCCTGCTGAGTACAAAAGGTCCAGGTTGTCTAGGAACCGCAGAACTGTGAACCGTCCCTATGGTGGAGTGCTCTCTGGAATTGCAGTTAGAGAAAGGTTAGCAAATAGTTTCAGTACCTTTGGATTTGATAACCCTAAAGTTGCAAACCTCCTAACTTGTCTATGTAACCCCACATGCTTGCAGGATCATCCGTGCTTTCCTGGTTGAAGAGCAGAAGATTGTCA